GAGAGATCTCTCTTTAGCTCACGGGGCTAGGTCGCTGCAGAGAGACGCGGATGTCCCGGGTTCGAGCCTCCAGTCGGGATGGGGCCGACCAGATGCGGCAAGGGCGCCCGCCTGAGCCCCCGTTGCGTTACAATATAAAAAATGAAAGATCAGGCAAGGAGAGTAGAACAAGAGAGAAGGGAGGAGACAGGAAGAGACAGAACTTGAAGCATGTGCCACGTACTTGTCCAGATTTATCAAAAGATCATCCGTAAAAAACAGATTTGAACTACGTATTTGAACCTTACTAAAACAGCTTGCTATTCTGTATTTGTAAGGGAACTCTGACGTCCTGAGTGAAGAATCCCTTGCTTGTCCTGGTTTGTGGGTGTATTTCCAGGTTCTATTTATTTTGTGGCATCCGGATTTGCAGAGGGAGAAAGAATTTCACTTCTTTTGGCCTTTGTAGTTGAGTACTTGGTAACAGTCTTGGATTTTCTGTGTGGTTAGGACATTAGGCCTGTGGGACGCCTTGTCTGTAAGCTTCAGCTGTACATACACTGTAGGGTAACTTGTATGTTGTATGCGTATGTTGTGTATAGTGTAGTTTGTGTATTGTCACTGTTTAATGAAGTGTGCCTGCATTATTACTCTTTTCACCAAAGCTGTGCCAGAGAACAAAGTATTCATCTGCCTCTAACTATACAGTACCACTCAGTTACAGCATATTCTTGGTAAAAACTTTACAATTTGGGGGTTATGATTATTTAATTAGCTTTATTAATTAATCTGCTCAGTCAATTCCTGTTATTCTTTAATTTTCTCCATTCTTGTAACCCCCTATTCATAACAATAGTGATGCTCTAATGCGTTACTCTTTCAACTAAAGTAGTTAAACCTTCTCTGACTTTCATCTGTCCTGTAAACTGTGATTTGAAATATTTATTCAAGCTTTGAGCTTGTTCTGAATAGCCTTCCTTTTCATTTTCTCTTTGAATCATCTGTGAAACATTGCATTGTTGTCCTCCATTGTAAGAAATCTTGTTTCCTTACTATTTAAAAAAGTACAGACATCCCTAAATGTCTGAATTCCTATGCAGTGTGTAATTCATGAGAAATTACTTTTCGGGTCATTTTTGGAATTGGTTTCATCTTTCCACATTGTTGAGTCTACAACATGGCAATTTTAAATGTATTTGAAGACTCACATTTACAATTTGGTATTTAGTCACTGGAAATGTATACAGTGCATAAAATGTATTTTGGATTTTTTTTACCCAATTTTTGAAATGAACATTAAATGGACAATTTTCCCTTGAAATGCATTAACCATAATATCAACAGTTTATTGGCCAAATAATGTTATTTCTCTTTTAAATAATAAATAGCATGGTATTGTTTAAATAGTATAGTTCCTTGGGATAGCAACATAGTGAGCTGAAGTCATATTTTCAAAATTAAGTCAAAATTACATAAAAGTCCCAGGCGCTTGGTGTTTCAGTAGAAAATGGACAAAATATAGTAAATTAATTAAGCATTTGCATAAAAACTCATTATTTTAAATAATTCAAGAACAGTGAAAGATACAACAGTTCCCTGCTTGAGTAATGAAAGTCATCTTTGGGCTGCTGTTGGAGTAATTGAAGGTGGCTTCTCTGTGATAAACGTCGCCCAGACGCTCTGCCTCAACAATGCAAAGAATAATCCAGAGCACCCATAAATCTGGTACCACGAAGGGGACAGGCCAAGTCCTTGATGGCAGTAGATCACCACACTGACCTACAGCTGTTTATCTGACCCAGCTGCTTAATTGATTTTTGATTGTATTGGCTATAGCACAAGAAATTCCAGGAAGAAGTAACCTGCACATCAGCAGAATGACTGTAGTTTGCCATCTGCATGCTTGGAGGCTTTACAGGGGTAACATGCTGACAGCTGAGAGATGAAATTGCCATCTTCTATGAGCCAGAAAACATCTGAGTTGGCGGCAGAGAGAGTGGTGGAGTGTGTTATTCACTGATGAATGATGTTTGGCCCTTGACAGACTTGACAGAGGACAGCAAGTGTTGAAATATTGCAAGCATTATGCTGACTGTTGCGTTGTGCAAGCCAACCTGTAGGGCAGTAAAAGTGTTATGAAGTGGGGATGAATCTCCTTTAACACCAGAATGCCTTTGGTGCAGACTGAGGGCAGCCTTACTGCTCAGCCATGCATCGATAAAATACTTCAGCTAATAATGAATAACAAGAATCTGTTCTGGAAAGCCAATCAGGAGGTATCAGGTTCTTTCGCAAGACCACGCAATGACCAAACTGTTGTTTTGTTGACTGGTTGTGGTCAGTTTTTTCAATGGGTCCAACAGAACACCTGTGGCGCCAGCTGTAAATCAACAGGAGATAACTGCAACTTAATCAGGTGGCAACAGCGACGCAGGAAGAGTGATGCATCCACCCACAGCAGTCTTCCCAGTGGCTGATCAGGTGAAAGCACCCTCACTGCCAGGATCATGTTAATGGTCAGGAATGTCATACTAACTTTTTAATATTTTCATTAAACAGTTATAGATAGTCATATAGACAGTCACCTTTTGTCACTGGAAAACATATTTTATTCTTTTATCCTCAGTTTTGTTGACAAGCATGATTATGCTTGATTTCTGTGTTTACAATATTTGATAAAATGCATTAGGAGTTGTATGTTTTCTTTTGTAGATCAGTATATATAATCAGAAATCACTCTGGAATCAAATCAAATCAAATCAAATCTCCTTGAAAAACAAATAACCCCAACATAAGCACACTATTGCAATACTGACTATATTGCATCTTTAATTTTCCAGCATTTTCTATGTTTTTTCATTTTTATTTTTAAAACAGTACAGTAACGTTTCCCATTCCTGTTAAAAAGCAAAGGCAACTATTACTATTTGTTTATACACTGGACATTTCAGACCATTCCATTCTATGGCATAAAAAAACACTTAACTGTACAGCCCTTTGTTATTAGCATCCATTGTGCAAGAAGGTTTTGATTTTCTTTATCAATGCAGAGTAAAATCAAGTCTGTCCTTGTGCCATGAAGAACCAAAAGGTACATGAAGTGCTTTTTAAGGAAAATATTTTGAATTAAAACACACAACCCCGATCAAACCTTAACCAAATTTAACATCGCACGGCAGATTTGAAAGCTGCAGGAACTCAAAGCAACCAAACAAACAAAAGAGTCGACGAGAGCAGAAATAAACCAACATGTTTCTGCCATGTGGCGGTAGTGGGGTATTTTTTTCTGCACTGAATGCAGGTTCCATTTTGCAGATTGTAATGCAGAGGTGATAAGCAAGTTTAAGAAATTATGTTCAATTTGTGTCGTGATGAGAGCGTGCAATTGAGGCCAACTTAATGAGTGAAGTAGGATTCGATATGAAAGGCAACAAAGAAAAACAAATCTGGAATGTCCTCACACAGGCCCCATCTGACAATCATGGTGAAAGTGTTCATTGTTTCAGGGTGCTGGCCAGGGATGTTTGGCTCTCCTCTGCCTCCACAGGCTTATCCTCCATAAGGCCAGAAAGCTGCTTTTGTGCACAGGTCAGGAACAGCTCCAGGCTGGCCAGGTTTCTTTGTCTGGCTAGCTGATCAAGCTGTGGAAGAAGAAAAAAAATGGCGATAATTGAAGTAATACTTTACAAAAGGGCCTCTAACTGTTCAAACTTTTTAGTCAAATTAAGTTAATATGTTGCAAATGTGAGAAAAACAGGCCCAGATGTATCGTAAGATTACATTCACATTTTAAACTTTGCATTCAGGAAAAAAAGAATCGGACAGGTTGCGCATCTATAATCATAGTTTAGGTCAGAATATGTGATGAATGAGGGCTTTGTCTTTGCAATGATAAAAGCCTTATGGCAAACATTTGCTAAACTTTACCACCTGCTTCACCCAGCCTTTGCTCAGTTTTAGTGAACCTGTGTGTAATTAGCACCTGTTTACTGCTCAGGTTTGAATTCCTAATTGGAACATTTTCTGAAACAGTGCAAGGTGCAGAGGCATCAGTTATTATGCTGAGATCAGTGGAATGGCCTCCTCTCCTTTGAAACCTTTCTTATGTTCTGATGTTTCCCATGTTGTAACCAGAGGACACAAGAGAAAACTATGGGGGAGTACATTTAGAACTGAGAACAGGAGGCCTTTTTCTATGCATAGGATTGTGGGAATCTGGAACATCTGGAAAAAATGACACCCTGCTTTCATTCAGTAAACAGCTAGATAAAAAACCTTTAATCAATTATCTACAAGCAACCAATCATGCTAGCTGGGTCGAATGGCCTCCTGTCAATTGTAACCTTTCTAAAGCTCCATAGCACATTAACATCAGAATAAGCAGTGCATGCAATCTGTGATTTCCGATGGAGGAAAAGCAATCATGCAGTCTATTTTTAATAGGCACACTGAGAAGTATTAATATCTCACACAATTCTACTTTTAACTTAAGCTCCTCTGAAAAATCATTTAACACAACAGGGTCAGATTAAATTTTAAATTTTGTATTGATCTTTTATATGAGATCCTTGTCATCATGATTTTTCCAGTCTCAAAAAACTGGAGGAAATGCACACCTTAGATTAAGTGAAATGTATCTGTACAGGCATGCAGGTTATAGTAAGGTTATACTGATGGCAATGGCATGTATTTGAGTCAGCAGTTTTATCTTGGTGAAAAACAATGGCATTTAATTGCACACTCAGCTTAAACTCTAACATCTGGTAAGTGTCTATGCTTTTTGCAAATGCTTGGAATTGATACGATATTTGTGTTCAGAATTTCATGCTTGTTGGCTCAACAAAATGCAGTTATTTGATATTTGATTGTAAAATCTGCATTGCTCTTTGTATGAACAGCATATCATGTCCTATTATAAATGTAATCTTTGAAAAGGTTTTTTTTACTCAGAAGAAAGGTAACAAATTTATTTACCATGCTGAGTTTTCTGTGAGTTAAAAAGAGCCGGCATGATGTGATTGCACTCTACATACAGTACAAGTTGTATGGCAATATGAAGAGATGCTAGCACAAAATGTTCGGTTTTATGTAACATGTTAAAATATATCAGCTGGCAGCTGTTTTAGTTCTGATACAGAATGTATATGCAGTCACTAAGTACATGCTGCTGCTTCATCTGCTCAAAAGAAATGCCTACATGTTCCTTAGCCCACAGCTCACTACTGAATAAACGTGTGTTCGAATGGCCATTGTTATGATAACCACCTAGAAACATTTGAAAAGTGCTGTGGAAAGGTAATTGCCAGGTTGATTGAGACTGATGACATTTGTCAATCTTACTTGAATGGAAATGTGCCTCTCTAAAAAGGAATTATAAAGTACGCAAAGGCATGAGAAACCTACTTGAGCTAAATTACGTTTAAGTAGAACAAAAATATTTTCTTTACTTTTTTCTTTCTTTTTAAGAGACCAACCATAATTTCACATAGAAAGAGATTTTCTGCCTTTATATTAGCCTCACACACTGGAGGATTGTCTCAGAAGGTTCATTTTTAAGACAACACAAAATTGTTTTTTGCTTCGTAATCAGGTTGCAATTCATTAAAACACTAATACCGTAAACACTGGGTTTGAATAGAAAGCGGATTCTTTTTTTTTCTGGTGTTAATATTAATATTAATGTAAATTTTCTGCAGAAGACAGACTATTCTAATTTTCCTTGGAAAAAATCAGACTGGGACTACAATTGGCAAGGATGTGGTTAAGAAGCTCATGTGTTCCAGTGTTAAGACACCTGGTAGCATAAAAAAAACAGAATGTCAGAGTTCCAATTCTTTAATCATATAAGGATATTTTATATCTAGATTGACAGTTTCATCAGAAGAAGATAAAACCTTCAAACAAATAGCCATTGTTTATATGTGGAAAGATACTTGTAGTCAAATACAATATAGCCTTTCAAGAATATTTTAAAAATGACCACACAGAACAAGAAATGCCACACTTACATACACGTGGACGTTTAACACAGGAAATCATCTAAAGATACAGTACAGATTATGCTGTTTTTAAATATATTAGTTACCCTGAAAATTCCCACTCTTGGTTACACCAGAAAGAGCAAATTAAATAATATTAACTTGTTGCTTTTTGGACCTATTCTTTTCTATTTTTACTCAACATTCTCAAAGGAGAAATGATCTCATTTTCTAAATAAACATCAATGCCATTTTTGGCAATTAAATGGAGACCACTCTCCAAATGTTCACAGTCTGTAGAACATTATTTGGCCTTTAAATGCTCAATTTGTGCACTCAGACAAGTGGATTTTAAATGAACGAGCCACCATGGCAGCTATCTGTCCTTGGGTTACTGAGTTTACTTTCAGAGGCTGTGCATTCTATACTTGGAAAGAATGTCTCTGCCTCACTCAAAGACACTCATCTGTGACACTGCCTAAAATAAACTGAGTAAAAAAATATACATTTTTCTCTCTGTATGTGAAATATTTCTGCCTATCTACTGTATTTATTTTCTTAGTTTTCCAATGATACACTACTTCACACACTTCATTATAGTTTGAAGGTTGTAGCTATAATACAGTATGCCATAAGATTTTGAAGGAATGAAATACTCCTTTTTCGGGATGCTACAGTAGTTCATTAGAAAGCTACTCTTTCAAACATGACCATGGGATGTTTAAGGAACAAATAGGGTCTCAGATAAACATCTGAAGGACAACGTTTACACTATTACGCAGTGACCCTTGTCACCGTACAGGGTCATTGGTTGTGGAAATTGTGGTCCAGAAAGAAAATTGCCCGCTCTCACACCCCATCACTGACCAGGCCCAGCCTTGCTTATCTTCTGATGTCTTTTGAAACTAAAATATATAGTAATACAAAGTATGTAAATTACAATACTTTATTTTAGAAAATCCAAAATGTGATATTAATAAAAAATTGCACACACTCAAAGTAACGACACAGTAAAATAATTCCTACAAAATAACATTTTTCACAAACAACTTACGCAATAGTAATGCAAAGCATTTATTAAAGTATGTTTGGGGAGTTTAAATGCTGTAGTCATTCTGCTGAACAATGATTCTTCTTATTTTGTCAAAATGAACATTTTGGTCGGTCCTGAAAAAATGTCAAAGATATTTTAGCATGTTTTGTTTTTTAATTGTTTTAATTGTATTTTAAATTGTGTGGCATATTACTGTCATCAATAAAATTTGGCAATCCACACTTTGCCTATTTTTTATTTCTTCATACACTCCCATAAAACAAAAATATCCTTAAATTTTGTGTTTCCTAGTGTCTTGAATGAAGTTAGTCGAAAAAACAATTTCAATACTGAAAATGAGTATATAGTACACTGAATCTACTGATTTGTTTTTCAAATTAATAAAATTAAATAGAAGTTAATTTAGTTTGAAGCTCAAATGTTTTATACAGAAAAAACATTTCAGTCAATGTGGATTTAAAACGTGTAATTTTATATTAATGCTTTCTTATGAAAAACACTTCTCCTTTTATCGATCAGGTAAATTTAGCTGTTCAAAAATTGTTTAAAAAATATGATATCCCTTCATCCACTAAGGATGCTATCTGACCTTAATTTAGCTACTTGTTCTCCAGTGTGATGGACTGTGGTTAAGGAAGTTTAATTTTCAGACTCCCACATTAACTTTCTACATTTTTTTTTGCAAAGTCTCACATGATTTCCTGCTCATTTTTGCCATAGGAAACAACAGCAATTCAGAATATGGAATTCTCACTGACAATTATTGAATACTATTTATTTTCATAACAGTGATATAAATCTGGTGCCTTGAAAAGCAATGTGAAATAGAAAAAAAAGCTAACAAAGTCATTTTCAAACTAGTTAATGTTCTGTTCAGGGCAAAGCAATCAATGGCCTCAATTAGAGGCGGTTTGTAAGGACTCCAAAACTGCAGCTAAGTGCACACCAAGAAGTGAAAGTGATTTTCTTCTGTTTACACTATTACTTTCATTCCACTGGATTTATAAGACAGTATTAGTATTTAAGGAACTTTTGACCTTTAGAAATGTGGTATGTGCAATTCAAACAGAATCCACATCCATTGCAGAATTCAGAGTAATTCAAGTTAACTTAAAAAAGGGGGAAAAGGAAACTCAGCAAAGGAAAGCAAAGTGTAAAAGCTAACCAGTGTCCCTGAAACGTGTTGTGGCCATGATCTGCTGTATCTAACATAATTCTATCCATTCATCAGCTATCAGATCTTGCAGGTATACGGTATAAACTCAAAAGCAGGCAAATCTAATGTAAAACAAAAACATGGTTTAAAATGTTCTTCCTCTAAGTTTTATTTTGTTACAGACATGTCATTGTTGCAAAACTGATCATTAGTGATATATAGTGAGCTAATCTTAGTGAACTGAAGTGGTCAAGTGTTAAAGAGAGGAAGTAACCATAAAAGTGGTAAAAGTGGCAAAACCTTAAGAGGGGTTATTTCTTGAGCCACATACTGTAAGCAGGCTTCACAAGACTTTCAAATTGTATTCTGTTCCATAGGCAATTTTAATATGCACACTTGTAGCTTGCTTCATTATTTATTTTCCCTTCTCAAGATGAACATGTTGATGATAGT